TGCACGAAATACACTCGGCGACATCAGTTTGTTCGTTTTCCCTTCAGCAGTGGGAACTGGTCTAACTTTTTGATTGGAATGCTGTCACTCAGAGTCTGTTCATCTTCTGATCCCTCTCCTCTCTCCTGCCAGCTGACCTGTGCCGTGACCATTTCACTAAGTGTGGGGTGATGGCTCTCAACGGGCAGTGTAGCTCTCTGGGGGAGACTTGTGCGAAGAGCTGTGGGGCTTGTTAAACTGGAGCTGCGCCAGGGAGACCCTCTGACCTGCGACCACACCTCCACAGGACTCACCCACGCCTGTGGCCCGGAACCTTGCCCATACCCATTCCTTTGCCTCCAGACCTGACAAGCTCTTCCTGTTCCACAGAACCCTCTGATACCTCCACCTCTGATTACTCCTGTCTGCCCTGTGTGTGTATTACGTCTTAACGTGTATATATGTCTTGCGTACCTCCACCCCTTCCTCAAAAGCCACCCCCATTACCCTCATGACAACCAACCCCTGCCTTCCCTCCCACCGGGTTCCCACCCACACAGCAGAGTATTAGCATATGTAACCCCACCCACTTATTCCCAAACCCCGCCCCCAGTCTTCAACGTCACAGTGGAGTCTCTTTCTCTCTTCCTTTGCATATATATAAACATATACAAATGAATATTAATTAACTGTATAACGTCAATGGTGCTAAGAATAACAGAACAGTACAGGAAGAGCTCAGATGCACATAAAGGTTTGTACTTCAACGTGAGCATCTCTGTATCTGTTCCTGTTGGGATTGTACGACTATATTGCGAGCGCTGTGGCAGACTGGACATGTATGAACATGTATGAACAGGTTTTATACTACTGCTTTGTGAAACGGTCTTCATTATTAAGGAGAAAAGAGAAGATTTGTTTCATTTGTAATTACTGTCTTGGATAATAAATTTATCGCTAGACATGCGAGTCGTGTGGCCTGGTGTCTTGTCTTGTTGGGGGGGGGGGGACGGAGGCTGTTCTGACCTCTCGCTCTCCCCCCCCACCGATCGGAGCACCGAGATCAGAGCAGCCTCCGTCAGTGACCGTGGAGCAGATGAACAACAGAGCAGGCGAGAGTCGAAGGTACAATTTTAATACAAAAAACAATGAGGACAGGAGCTACATCACAGGGAGCGAGCTGGGGGGGTCAGAGACGAACTGTCGCCCCCAGTACCTCCGCCACCCTTCTGGAGAAGCCCCCTGCCCACCCACCACCTCCCCTCAGAGACCTGAGCCTCCAGCGCTACGATCAGCAAGATCAGTCTTTATTAAAACCCCATCGGGCTGGTTTGATTAGCACAGTGAAAGATTCCCCGACACGCTGATAATAACCCCCATTAGAAAGGCGCCACACTTCCAATAATAAAACATTTTCAGTCTGTTATTGCTTTGTAATTAGAATGTGATCCATAAAAACATGATTTTTAAGACAACAATCAAGATCTAAAAACAAAACAAACAATTTAAAAACAGATGTGGTTAAAAAGATCAGGCTGTCTGTGGGGTGGAGTGACACCATCTGCACCTGACCAGGTTCTGTGGCAGATGTCTCAGCTGCCTGCCTGAACTCTTAATTGCACTGGTTCGTTAGCTTAATTAGGCTATGATAAGTGATTTTATACATTTTTAAGAACTGTTACAAAGGAACTGTGATATGTGTAAGTGTGTGAGTGTAGTGTAACCTGTGTGTGCGTCGGATCAGTTTCCCGACAGGACCGAGGTGCTGGAGAAGAGGGGTTGGCGCCGTCGGATCTCCTGCTGGAGCTGCTCCTTCAGGGTGGACACCTGCAGAGCAACAGAGACACACCAGTCACTGTCCAGCCTCACAGTCCGACACGCCCCACCGTCCAGGATACACACTGCACTGTACAGAGCACAGCAGGGCGCAGAGTACACTGTGTACAGTACAGAGCACTGCAGTGTGCAGTGTGTGCAGTACAGAGC